GTTCTTTTTACTTAGACAAAAACCTCAGGCAATAAAGTAGCTTATGTGGCAACTTTAGGTTTTGTGCTTTATAAAAAAAGGAAGGCCTAATTCTTAAGTTTCATGAAATCTTATTTTTTTTAGTTTTGAAAGTAGTTTATAAGTGTTTTCTCACCGTAGGTATTTATGACAAATATTGCATAAATACTTGCCCCTAGGAGTTTACATTCTAGTCTAAATCAAAACTACTGAAAAGACATTACAACACTGGGGGGAGGTATAGGGAAACAGAGGTTGTGGGAGAGTTGTTGTTGGAGTAACACTGAATGGACCCTGAAGGGTGACTCTGCATCAAATGGATATGGAGAGTTCCCCTTTGCTCTATTTGGGATGTGATCTTTCTTAGGGAAAACAACTCTCCAGTTGTCTAATCAAAATAAATACAGTAGTCCTAGTGTTCTTTGCTGCACATTCTTCTCTTCGGGATTAGAAATAATGTAGGAGCTAGAAAGAAAGGGAATCATCTTCCCTTTGGGCACGACCGGGAATGGATCACTTGATGATTACCTGTTCTGTTCATTTCCTCTGGGGCATCCGGCATTGGCCATTGTCGGAAGACAGGATACTGGGCTAGATGGACCTTTGGTCTGACCCAGTATGGCTGTTCTTACGTTTAATTGCTTTGCTCCACAGCAGGTGGCTGGCTGAAGGTGCTTGTTTCCAAATGGTCGATTATATCAATTGCTGATTATGACCTGTTAGGTCATAAAAAGTTGGCTCCTCAGGATGTGTTTAAGGGGTTGATGTACAAAGATGTCATACATGGAGTCGTCTTGTAGTATAAATACATGACAATGCTTTTTCTTAGAATAGGTGTGGCATGGAGCATACGCTTAATTACACATCAAAGAAGTAAACCTGTTATATACGGGGAACCACATAGCATAGTTATATAATATGCTCTAGCATTGTGGTGCTGAGATTGCTTCACTAAATCATGAAGGAAGCTAGTGGAGGTCTATCTATTTTTATATCCACCAGGATTGCTTTGAAAAGAGATGACCGAGGCTTTTCTCTGGTAAAATAACTAAGAAATAAGGAGCAAATTCTGTAGCACATGCGCTCAGTGAAATGTTTGATCGCTTTGGTTAATATTCACTCACTCTAAAAAGTTATGTTGACAATTTCAGCTGTCCTGGTGACAAGCGAACTGAGTGAGGGAGAAACAGTGCTCTTAAGGAGCAGCAGTCATGTGTTTCACGCTCCTAAATTTGAGAGCATCTGCCACAGAGAGTTCCAGGGCTTGAGAGTGACATGCTTATGTATGTTTGCTTAATTTTATTTGTAATTGATTCATAATTACACTTTATAGATATATAGATATATATATATATATAGAGAGAGAGAGAGAAACTATGATTTAAACCAGTCTTTTTTGAGAAGCCTCTAAAATTGGGAGACTGTTGCATCGTCCACACAGAATATTGTTCCTTTTGTTTGTCTCAAAGACCTCTGTAAACATTCTAAAAGTGTATTTTATAATAAATTAAACATATTGTTCTTGGTTTCTTCTATCTGTTTGTCTGAAAAAATTAGTTTCAAGGGTATATTGGGAATAAAATAATCTAAAATAAGATTAGAGAAAGTACCTGGCTACCATCCAATTTTTTTCAAATACCAATGAATTTCAAAAACCCAAAGGAAGACTAGCATCCTAGGGGTGTTCAGCACTCCGTGAGGTCATGGTATTTCTCCCCCCCCCCGTTTTCGCCATTATTTTCCAGTAAACTAGGCTTTCAGGATGAAAAAACAATGAGGGTTTTCTTTTCTGCTTTGGAAGTGGGAAGGCACAACGCAGTTAATCAGTTGAAATCAGTCTTTCAGTTAATAAAAATAAACTTACTGTGACTTGTTCTGTAACACTATTTTTGCAGGAGGAGGCGTGGGGGGTATGAGGAAGCTATGATAAAAGATTAAGTAGTTGTGGTGTTTAATGAGATCATGGTGTCCCCAGACGACTCTAGAATATATCCTTGTTTTTATTGAAGTGTACAGTGCAGTTTGAGCACTTGTATGACCATTACAGTGTCAAAAGAAATTCTGAAACTGCTTTCTTTGACTGGCAAGCTTATGTTAGTTATGGATATACATTTTCTAGTTCCTACTGTGACCAAAGTGACCTCACTTGACGATGAAAGGATTGTGCTGAATGTCAAAGAAAGTGAAGAACAGAACAGAGAAATCAAAAAGGAAAGTGGAGGAGATCACCAAGCGAAGATCAAGGAGGAAGAGCAAGTAGAGCAGTATAATGAGCCATCTACTAGTTCTGGCTCTAAATGTCCAGAGGTAAACTACACATTTTTCTTAATGTTTTATGTTCCCTCTCTGCTTAGTGTGTGCAAAGCTCCTCTTTTGGTTCTGTGAATGGGAAACATCTATTTCATGCTCCCTATCAATACTTCATCTACTTAAATACTACTCAAAGTTTGTGTAATTATCCCAGCACAGCCTCCACTGCAGTAGACATGCCAGTAACTACTGATGTGAAATGCGTCAATTGATCAGCCAGTAGACGAGGAATACAGTATGCTCAGCAAAGATCTTCCATTCCTCTTTTTATGTCACCCCTTTTGTTGCTTGATCAGCCTGAGATCACTTCTAAATTTGTTTGCTAATATGGAAGTACCACCCACTGCAACTGTGCCATCAGGCTAGCTCAGATCTAATTTCTGAGCCCTTTATTGCTTTTGCATTGACTCTGATGTTGATTTGTAAGAAGGATAATCAATTAATTTAGCGTATGATGCCTTTTAGCAGTTTTAGCTGATTCTCCTGGGTATACAGCAGTGTCCTAATTCAAACTTTACTCTGAACATGCATTAGGGAGCTTTTTAAAAAACAAAACAAAAAAATCAAAGCAGGGGCCAGTATTGTAGCTAAGAAAAGGACAAACTGGAAAAAAACCCTAAATTAACCCCCTTTGAAATAGAATAGAAGTGAAAAATACTGACTTGTTTCATTTTAATTCAGACAGTTACAAAAAGCGATGAACCGGTGTGTAAGCTGCGAGAACTCCAGACCAAGCAGTCTCTGAAGAAGGATACCGCCACCTTTTGGCCATCTAACTGGCGGAGTAAATTGTGCACATGCAAAGACTGTTTAGTATGTATACATTTTTGTTTTCTGGGCTAACATTTACATTAGCTCCTTGAAGACTCTACTGAGAGAAGTCAATACATAATACAATTTTTAAAACTTCCTTGTTCTGAATGTAAATATCTACTGGAAAACATTCCACTAACCTAAGGAAACAAGTGTGGGTCTTATCTGATGACTTTCTCATCTTCAGTATTAATAGTATATAATAGCCTGTGAACATTTTGTATTTATTTACCTACTATCTAAAGTAAGCACAGTTCTGGAAGCATTCACAAGAAGTGGCTGAAATACTTGCTGATATAAAATAATGTGATAAATGTCATTTCTTTGGGAGAGGTCTTGAAAGGTTGGCAAATGGTCTGTAAAGTTTGTAAGCTGGAAAATAATAACTTTTACTTTTACTCTTCAGAAAATGTATTCAGAACTGGATGTCCAATTCCTGATTGATGAATGTGACACTGTCTTGGCCTATGAGAATAAAGGTACAAGTGACCAGGAAACAGACAGAAGAGATCCTTTAATGGACACGCTTAATAGCATGAACAGAGTCCAGCAAGTAGAACTCATCTGTGGTAAATATAATTTCATTTTGGGAATTCAGCATAGCATTTTAAATATATATCTTACCTAAAGGAGCTATGTAATAGATCTCCTTAAAAGGCAGCTTATAAGAGACTGTTTAACTAACCTCCAGAAACATTTCTGTAGGAAACCTTGAACGTTTTTGTCTTCAGCCTGTTGTTAATTACTATTTATATTAAGGAAGCAGATTTTGTAGAAACTTCTGCTTGTTTTCTAATTCAGCAGATCGGCAGTGGTAATTCCTTCCGAAAGTTGACATGTTCGTATTAGCTAGCTTAGTTTTCTGAGTTCATAGATTATGTATATATAGCATCACCAGCACAAATACAATTTCCCTGCCCTGCACAGCTGTCATAAGTAGATAATAGGCAGGGAAGGGTGACAGTGAAAAGCATGGGACTGAATGAGGAAGTCAAGCACTCACTTTAGTTTAGTTTAGTTTGCTTCTTATATGCATTATTTGTGGGGCGGGGGAATCGTCAGCTTCAGGGCAGATGGAATTTCCTGACAGTGTTCGGTTCCTTGTCTGTGGAGTATACCCAAACTCTGTTCCAGTGTCTATAGACATGAAGATGGAGGTACTTGAAAAATGGTGCACCAGTCCCTCAACAAGAGGCTGCACTATATCTGACATGTTTGAGCATTTCTGGGCCAATAAGCCAGAGTCCTCAGTCATAAATTAGGGCTCCTCCATGGAAGACTTTATCAATTGTATCAACTCATGCTCTTGCCACTTTTCTGAAGAACACAATGTGCCAGTGTGACTGTATTGTACTTCAGCAGAATCTGTTCTGCTCCGCTCCAGTGAACTTAAGCTAATAAACCCTTGAGGGTTTGAACAAATGAAGCTCACGTCACATATAAAGAACAGCTAGTACTGATGTATTAATTTATTCATAGGGCTTGATTCTCAGGTTTGTTTTGTCCTTAAAATACCTATTTAAGCTGGTTGGTCTAGGCACAGGGGAATTCCCTTATGTAGGAAGCATCTGTTAGTGATGTCAGGCGCAGGGGTGTTGGCAGAGTATGTGTCCATGCTTGGTTGTTCCTAAAAATCAGTGTGTTAGTTTTAAAATTTACAAGAACAGAACAAATTGCTTGATTCTTGCTCAGTTAATTCTCATTCAGAAAGGTACGGATTGCTTTATGTAACTTGCTGTGGGGAGGTACATTGTGAATCTGGTAAGGAAACAGTGGACTGAGCTGAAGTCTTGCCAAGTGCTAGAACTGGAATCTGTATCCCATGTTCTCTGAACCATCTCATTTAGTGTTGATAGCACTTTGCTTTCCGCACAGCCAGCTTGTCAGCCCAGGCAAGTGAGGCACAGTCTAACCAAGAATTTTTAAGAGCTGCACGATATTTTCCATAGTGTTTATTGAATTGATAAATATAGATTTATAGACAGTTAAGCATATATATTAAAAAGTTAATATAATTCCACAAGAAGTGCTTGTGATTTGATTTAAATCTGTCAACTCACTGTCCAGTAGTGAAATGCAATGCCAAAAAGTTAGAAGAATGTAATGCTGCATGAGGCTCAAATCTCAGTAAAGCTAATAGTGCCTCAAGAAGCTGCCTTGTTACCATGGCAATTTACCACACCAAGAAGTCAGTTTATAAAGGTGTTGCTATGGTAACCACTGTTGGAGGCCATGGCAGGATTGTAGCAGTTGAGGCCAGTTCTGAACTTGGTGACGTATGTTTGGAATTTGAGTTTTTAAAATTTTCAGTAATGGCTTCTGTAGAAAATGACATTGTGTATGACCTGAGGGAAAAAAAGATTTTCATTAATATTTCAAGAAGAGAGATGTTCAATCATTAAGGAAGGCAGAATAACACCAGCACTGGAGGTCTTGAAGAAAGAGGGGAAAAAACGCGTCAATTTCAGACATCTTGGTACAAAGTCCATAAATGGCTAACAGGCAGCGCTATGAGTAACAGATTATATTGTTGGCCCCGTTTGCTTCTTTCAACTAAAAAAAACATGTGGGCTAATGAAGGTTACTGTGACTGGAAAAATGTGTCACGTAGCACATCTATACACAGCTCATCACAAGAGCACATAAAAAATGAAGTTTCCTTGAAACGCTTAGAGCAGGCAAGCACTCCTGTAGATGTGTTGCTTAGTGAGCAAAGGCACCTTGCTATCTTAGAGCACAACAAGAAAGCCAGGAAGAACAGAGAGATTTTGAAGCGACTAATTGGTTTTATCTCGTCAGGAACTTGCATTCCATTACTGTTATGAGACGGAACAATCTCTCCATCAGGGTAATTACAGGGAACTTTTTGATTATTTTTTTCGTCATGACAAGAGATTGCATTTTTTTTGCCAATAAACATTCATCAATTTTTTCTGACCTATCAAAGAACATTCAAAACAAATTGATCGAATGTGTGGCTGAAGAAATAATATCCTACATTGACTGTGAGATTGAAGAGTGCAGCTTTTTTGCTTGCGAGATAAGTGAGAAATGTCAGTTGTTTCATCTAAGCCAGCTTTCACTTGTGTTACGCTACGTGGACAAGGGGCGGCAAACACAGGAGCGGTTCATGGGTTTTAAAAATGTCAGTGCAGATCGAACTGCAGTTGCTTTGAAGCAGGTTCTGGATTCAGTGTTGTTAAAATACAACTACAGAAGAAAACTTGTGTCTCATTCATATGATGGCACTGTAGTGATTACTGGTGAGCTGGGAGGTCTGCAAGCCCTAATTAAAAAAGAGGCTCCACAAGCTCTGTTTGTGCATGGTTTTGCCCACAAATTAGATTTAGTTCTCCAGCAAGGTGCGCAGTGTATTAAAGAAACCCGTGGCTTTTTTGCAACCTTGGAAGGCTTCTCCACATTTTTTACATGCTCGAGCAAACACAGTGAACTGCTGGATCGAATTGTGGGCCAAAGGATACCTTCCCTCTGTGCAGTTCGATGGATATACAAGAGCAGAGTCCTACATGCCATTGTCTCGGAAAGAGAGAAACTTTGCAAAGTATTTCAGGAGATTGTCAATGCCAGTGGTTGGGATGGAGAATCTGGGCGACAAGCCATAGGATACCTTACAAAACTAAACCACTTCCAGTTTCTTTTCTTGGCATACTCCTACGGTAATATCTTCAGCATCACTGACATTCTCAGTGATGTTCTTCAGAAAAAGGCTGTTGATGTAGATTACTGCAATTTGCAAGTTCAGTTAACAATCACAAGGATTGGTGATCTGCATAAAGAAGAGGAGTTCAAAGAAGTGTTTAATTCTGCAGCCACTACCCTCACTGACTTACCTTCACCTCCAAAAAAATGTAGGCTGGATTTGGAAGATGGATCCTCTGAAGATGGTCAGAAAATGTATTTACAACTATACAATGAAATCATTGATGACATCATTCTGCAGCTGTCTCTCAGGTTTGTAGACATAAAGGCTCTCCACTTCATTGAGCTGTCGGACTCATCAAGATTTCCAGCTTTCAGGAAACAGTTCCCCACAGATGCTTTTACCTCACTCTCCAATTCTTATGGCAGCTACTTTGATTTAGATCATCTCAAGAATGAGTTTGGTGTCATCTTCAAAGATGAGCAGTTTCAGAATCGTTCTGTTAGCGACGTGCTGCGCTTAATCAATTAAACTGGGCTCTGAAGTGCTTAAGGAAGTGTACCGCTTTTTTTGCTTAGTTGCCACTATACCAGCAACAACAGTGAGTGTGAAAAGAAGCTTTTCTTGCCTTAAATGCATCAAGACATACTTGAGCACAATGGATCAGGGTTGTCTCAGTGCACTGGCCACAATATCCATTGAAAAAGAACTGTTCTCTTTCCTGGAGAAGCAGCCGACCTGGTACGATGTTGTTATTGCATAGCTTTGCTTCAAAAAAAGAGTGATTGATCTTCACTATATGAATAAGGTAAGTTTACGTCACTTAATGGATGTCAGTTTCTTGCTATGACATGAAATTTTTGGAATGACTTTTTGATACTGTATTTTTATAGCAAATAGTCCACTAAATAATATGTGATTGTCAGGTTCTGATTTGCCAATTGATTATAAAACCTTTTTTTAAAGCAGTTTTCTAAGTTGTGTTGTTTAAAGTTCTAATGTTGCTGTGACGTTGTGCAGTCTACATGGTTTTATAAAAATATAATAATAAGTCAATATAATGTAACTGGGATAGATTTAGAGAAAATACGGTAATAAGTGATATAATGTAACTGGGATATGCTTCATGCAAAAGGTCTCTTGTAAGGTATCCTTACTAAGCTTATAATCTACTGAGTATGATAATCTGATTTGTATCAATGTACCACTCTTGTATTTAAAACTAGAAATATAAAAAATAACTCTGAGGGCCTATTGTAATTATGTAGAGTGTGGGCCATTAAGGATGGTTTGGAATCTTAATGACTCCTATTGTTTGCAGATGGCTGTATTTACCTTTGAGTCTTCCTGTATGTGTGTGTGCTGGCAAGTGAGTAATGAAGTCTTGCAGTGACATGTGATCATGTCACCTGAACTGGAATCCATCTTTAACCTGGTGCTTTTCCAGTGAGGGGGGGTGGAAACCCAGAGGGACAAAGGATTCCCGCCTTATGCAAAAGATATATAAAGGGGTGGAAGAGAACAGAGAGGGAGAGGAGCCATCATGGAGAAGCCCCTAGATAACACCTAAGCTGGAACAAAAGCTGTACCAGGGGAAAGAATTGTGCCCAGGCCTGGAAGGTGTCCAGTCTGAGAAAAACTTACTGAAGCATCTCTGAGGGTGAGATTATCTGTATTTAGTTTGATTAGGCATAGATTTGCGCATTTTATTTTATTTTGCTTGTAACTTACTTTGTTCTGTCTGTTACTACTTTGAACCACTTAAATCCTACTGTCTGTATTTAATAAAATCACTTTTTATTTAGTAGTTTACTCAGAGTATGTATTAATACCTGGGGGAGCAAACAACTGTGCATATCTCTCTATCTGTGTTATAGAGGGCGAACAATTTATGAGTTTGCCCTGCATAAGCTTTATGCAGGGTAAAACGGATTTATTTGGGTTTAGACCCCATTGGGAGTTGGGCATCTGAGTGCTAAAGACAAGCACACTCTTGTGAGCTGTTTTTGGGTAAACTTGCAGTTTTGGGACAAGTGATTCAGACCCTGGGTCTGTGTTGAAGTGGACTGGAGTGTCTAATTCAGCAAGACAGGGTGCTGGAGCCCTGAGCTGGCAGGGAAAACAGAAGCAGGGGTAGTCTTGGCACATCGGGTGGCAGCTCCCAAGGGGGTTTCTGTGATCCAACCCGTCACAGTTGCCTTTGTTTTTTTTTAGTTGATGGGATTATATTAGCCTGCACTCACTATGTCACTATATTTGAATGCATGAAAATGCTCATAGCAGAGATATGAGATTAGCTGAACAATGTCAAGTTACGTTTAGGACTTTAATAATAAGCCAGCATGTAAAATAATATGAAAATGTCCCAACTGTCTTGTTTATTTGGAAGTACTCTTCTTTTTCTTTCTCTGCAAACTGATTAATTGAGAGTGATCGTTTCTGTGTATTTAATCTTATTATAGCCATTATTATTCAGTGGGTGGGAGTGGATATAACTATTATGATTTGTGCTTCTCCTGTCAAAGTCACAAGCCACCATTACTCACAGCTCTAACAGTTAGCAACTTCTGCTCAAAGTAAAGTTATTGAGTAGGAGGACACACAGATTTAAGAACCACCTTAGGATAAAGCCTTCCCACAGCTCTTCATTAATTTATAATCCAAACTTGAAATCCATTTACTGAAGCAAGTCTAGTCAGTTACTAGTTATCAAGAGGAGATAGCAAGCAATCATTGAAGCAGACAGTTGAGGGTTTTTTCCATTTTTTTCTTCCAGAATACAACGACCTAAAGACAGAACTGACTGACTATCTCAGGCGATTTGCAGATGAAGGAACAGTAAGCTATAACTAAACAGTGTTTTCTAGAAAAAAATCTAAAGTTTTTTTTAAAAAATACTTATTTTATGACAGGTTAAAATTTCCATAGTTTTTTTGGGGTGTGGGGAGGGGGAAATAGGAGAATGAAGTAGAAATGTCACCTCCATTTTTGACTAAGAGTTGAGAAAATGCATGTGCTGTAAGTAAAGGAAAGGTTTGTTGAGAGACTGCTTGGGCTCTTTGTAATTGTGTACATAATGTCTGTTTATCTTTAGGCTCTTCTGTTCTGTAACAACCCATTATTAGCATATTAAAGTATTGATGAGTGCAGTTTATAAACAAAATAAATTAGTTGAATTTTTAATCTGAGACTTTTTGCATAAACATCTTTTTTGTCCTTTATCAGCCTCTCTAACATTTCTTAAAAGAGCAAGAACAGGTTACTACCACACTTGATCTATTCAATCATACTTTATCCAAGGCATTCACATCCCATTGTCAGTCAGCACTAGAATTTACACCTTAAACTTCCTTTGTACCTTCAGAGCCATGAGTTGTTGTTTTTTCCCCAAAAACTACCTCAGCTGAGACATTTTGGTACCATTTTTGATTCTGTTCCTAACTTGGCTGAAATACAGGCATTGTGTATGCAATTATGCAGTCTTCAACCCACTACAGTCCTACTGACATCTTTCATTTTTGTTTGTAGTGTTGCTGTAACAATGTTAATCCCAGGATATTTGAGAGTAAAGGTGAGTGAGGTAATCTCTTTTATTGCACCTACTTCTGTTAGCGAAAGAGAAACTTTCGAGCTTACTGTGTAAATGTGAAAGCTTGTCTGTTTCACTAACAGAAGTTGTTCTAATAAAAGATTCTCACTCACCTTATTTCACTTTGTAATTAGAGTTCCTGATAGTTCATAAGAGCTGGACAAGCATTTTATACTTTTCTAATATTTTCCTTCCTTTCCCTTGGGGCTGCTCTTTTTGCCATTCAGGGTGGCACGTGCTTTTATTGTGCAATTTATGCTTTTGCACGGGGTAGGTCAGGACCATTGTTCTTAACAAGTTGGATTCCTTGATACTGCTGGTGATGCAGTGTGTTTTGTGTGTGTTACAAATACTGTCCTGAGAAACTTCTCTCATGTAGTTCTTGTCTGTTAGGTGGTCCTTTTTCCAGATATGTATTTTATTGTACTAGTTTGTCACAACTTGGGTTTCATTTTATTATCAGGTTGTTAAAAGAGAGGACATTCAGCAATTCTTTGAAGAATTTCAGTCACGCAAGAGAAGACGGACAAATAGGATGCAGTACTACTGCAGTTAGACTGAAAAGGCTTTGACTCATAAGGACAAATGGAAAATCCAATCCATCCTTCAGTAAATAGAAGCTAATATTTGACCTCTTTCCCTAAATCCTGCTTTCCAAGAGGCCTCCTTCAACTCTGCTCATTCACTCTGTTCCATAAAATACTTCTTACTTTTGTAGCTTATACATATATCTAACTTCGTTACAGGTGCATTGCATAGCAACTTACCATGCAGATTTCAGACAGTGTCGGTATACTTAAGTTGTCAAAAGTTGGTTTTGTTTCAGAGGGAATGAATTGGTCCTTGTTAAAACAACTTTTGTGCCACTTTGTGTCCTTTTTATTCTTTGACCTGTTTCATTTTAGTATGTGTAGCTATATACCATACTAAAGATGGGGGCAGACAACGTTCTGTATTGGGAATAAATCTACATTGTATAGTGTTGCTTTGTTGGTCTGAATACTTCCATACTAACTCTTCTAGTGTAGTGGTACTATCATAAGTTTACAATACAAAGGCAGAGGGTTCTTATTCACCTGGAATGTTTAACCAGACTGATGGGCATAATTCTCTAAATGTTAAGGTATGTTTAAACCTTAGAGGAGAATCACAGCTTAAAAGTAGGGTCATTATGTGAACTTAAATTGCATTGTACTTGCACAGACTAACTCCGGTGTTGCTGTGGAAGTGTATTTTCTGGGTAGGAGGAGATTAAGGAATCATGGACTGGTCTTCCAGCAACAGCCTATGGCATTTTTTTCATTACTTTTTTTTAGAAAAACGTGGTTCATGTTTCATTGTACAGTCACATCTCAAATTAATAGAATGGCTGTCAGTTTTATCCTCTCACTAGAATGCAAATGGAATGATACTAGTAGGTTACAACCTAAGCTTTTGGGGGTTTTAAAAACTGACCTATCTTAAGCTGCTCTAGTTTTTAAATGTTACAGAAAGGAATACGTTAACGTAACATTTTAAAACCTATTTGCTGCCATATAAACTTGTGACCTTTTTGGAACCACTGTGGTAGTTATTGGACATAAGACTCAAATCTACAGCTGAAGTCCTTAAAGCAAAACTTAAATATCAGAACTTACATGTTAGTTTAAAACCCTCAACTGAGATTCTTGAGAAAATTTTTACATTGGTTAATCTTAAACTACTAGTTGATATGTATAGTACTTGAAGGGCTTGTATTTTCCCCAGAGTCTGCTTTTACATCAACCATATTGCTTTTTATTTTTAAACTTGTCCTTTACTATTCTTCCCATTATTTTGTTTGACTGCCTCACTTTGCAAAACCTAGTTTTGTCAGAAATACTCAGTTAATTGGTTTGTTTTATGCAGATATGACAAGTTGCTTTTAAAACTATGTTTCTGGGTACTGTATATGCTCTTTTTGTAGAAATTGTTACTGGAGTTAGATATGCAGTTCTACTCCAAAAATGATTCCGTAAAATTTAAATAAAATTACTGTTCAGACAATCTGCATGTCATAGTTGCTTTTAGAATTACTGTTGTGCAGTTTAGGCTTTGTGCATCCAGTCCGAACAGTAAATCTTTCAACCCAGGAATAAGGCTCTGGGTGTGTATATGTTTTTAGCCAAGTTCCTGTATACGGTCATGAGACTTCCACTGTACAAAGAAACTAGAGGCAAGGACAACAGGAAGGAAGATAAACAGCTGATTGGAAAGTAACTATGTACCTCATCCAATCCTACTCAAGCAGTCACTAAGCCCAGAAGGTAACAGCATCAAGTAAGTGTACTTGGTTTTTAAATAGCAACTTCAGACTTTGCCCAAAGGGAATATCAACCAAAGCAAGCAAGTGCATCTTACTGAAACAAACACTAGGGAAGACTTGGATTTCCCAGAACCACGGTGCCTTTAACCAAGAGCTTTTTGTAATGGACGTCTCTTTAAACGTTTAAGTAGCAAAACAAATCTGCAATACTCGCAGAACAGATCTTAGCCCTTTTCCTTACAGATGAGATACTGGCTTCTGAGGTGCCTGACTCAGTTTAAATAAAACTTTCCAGAGAATGGACTACTTGTGAGGTCTTGCACTAGTATTTGTTAGAACAATTGGCTGATCAACATAAGAAATATGACCTTGGGAAAGCTTGGTGGGCAAAATGAAAACTTTCTTCCTGGTTTAAAAAGAAAAAATGGTTACCTACCTTTTGTAACTTTTTCTTCAAGATGTGTTGCTCATGTCCATTCCATTCTAGGTGTGCACGCCCACATGCACATTTGTCGGAGCCTTTTGCCTTAGCAGCATCTGTAGGAGCAGCAGTGGCGCCCCCTTGACTGCCACGCTCATGCGTCGGTATATTAGGTACCACTGACACTACACCCTTTCAGTTCCTTCTTGTCGGCAACTCCGACAGAGGGGCAGGAGGGCGGGTAATGGAATGAACATGAGCAACATCTCAAAGAACAACAGTTCCAAAGTTAGGTAACTTTTTTTTTTTTTCTTTGAGTGCTTGCTCATGTCGATTCTATTCTAGATGACTCACAAGCAGTATCCTTGGAGGTGGGCTTGGAGTTCAAAGTTTAGTGGCTTGTAGTACGGGCCTGCTGGCTAAGTGCGTAGTGGGACGTAGGTGGCCGCCCTACAGATGTCCTGGATAGGCACTTGGGCTAGAAAAGCTGCCGAAGAGGGCTGCGCCCTGGTCGGGTGGGCGGTTACAATCACCAGGGGTGGCACCTTCGCCTGATCATAGCAGTAGCAAATGCAGGCGGTGATCAAAGGAGAAATTCTTTGAGTGAACACTAGGCGACTTTTCATCCTGTCGGCCACCGCAACGAACAATTGTTTCAACTTGTGGAATGGCTTGGTCCTTACAATTTAGAAGGTTAATGCCCTCCTAACATCCTAGGGAATGCAGCCTACACTCCTCCTCCGACTTATGCGGCTTTGGTAAAAAGACAAGAAAGAAAATGTCCTGGCTCATATGAAACAGAGACCACTTTGGGCAGTAAAGCCGGGTGTGGACTCAACTGGACCTAGTCTTCATAAAAGACCGTATAGGGCAGTTACAAGGTGAGCACCCTAATCTCAGATCTGTCAGGTAGATGTTACTGTGACCAGGAACGCGACCTTCTAGGACAGGAAAAAGAGAGAGCAGGAAGCCAGAAGCTCGAAGGGGGGAGTCCCGTGAGCCACTTCAGCACCAGATTCAGGTTCCAGCGAGGAACGGGGTCCTTGACATGTGGGTAAAGGCGCTCAAGGCCCTTGAGGAACCTGACCGTCATGTTCTTGGAAAAAACAACCTATCTTTGAGCGGCGGACGGAAGGTTGAGAGAGCCATCAAGTGGACTTTGATAGATGAAAGGGACAGGCCTTGGAGCTTGAGATGCAGAAGGTAGTCCCAGATTAACTACAGCGAGGCTTGGTCAGGCCGAACGCCTTTATCAGAGGCCCAGCAGGTGAACCACTTCCATTTGGCCAGGTAGGTCGCTCTGGTGGAGGGCTTTCTACTGCCCAACAGGAGCTGTTGGACATCGGCCGAGCACTACTGCTCCTGCTCATTCAACCATGCAGCAGCAAAGAAGTCAGGTTCAGCGCCACCAGATTTGGATGCAGAAGACTGCCGTAGTTTTGGGACAGCAGGTCTGGCCGGAGCGGTAACCGTAACAAAGCAGCCACCGAGAGGTCCAGAAGTGTGCTGAACCAGTGCTGTTGATCCCCCAAATCAAGCAGAAAACTTGGCATTTCCTGTTCTGTCTGGACACAAACAGGTCCACCTGGGTGAGGGGATGATGGAGGCCAGGGAGACCATGCAAAACTTCAACTTCTTGAGAGACGTGTTGAGACGATGCAGGTCCAGGATAAGTCTGAGGATTAGGAAGTAGCTGCAGTAGAACCCATTTCCCTTCATATCCCAAGGAACCTTCTCCACTGCCCCCAGGTGGTGCAAGAGGTTTTTGACCTGGACAAGCAGTTGCTCATGAGAATGGTCCCTGAAGAGGGGTGGCCAAGAATTGCAGGGAGTAGCCTGAAGAAATTGGGTCGAACACCCAACGGTCCGAGGTTAGTCAAGACCAGGTCGATCGGAAGGGGTGGAGGCAGTCGAGGAAGGAGAGGGCGAATGGATCCAGTGAAGTGACCGGGCGTTATCCTTAAGCACACCCTCAAAATGATTATTTCTGGCCTCCCTGGTTTCTGGGAGAGTCAGACTGAGCAGACAGGCGGGAAAATGACAGGTGTCACTGCTTAGACCCCTTGTCTCGGTCCTTTCTCCTGTAGGAACCCAATCAGGGAGTTCCCCAGGACCTAGACCGTGGAGGCGGAGGATGGAATGGCTTCTTGGTCTGCAGGCCAAAGGAGCAGAGGGTGACCCAGGAGTCTTTAAGCCTGTGGAGCCTTGAGTCCATCAGCTTAAAGAGCCCTGTCCCCTTAAACGGGAGGTCCTGAATAGTGGCCTGCCTCTCTTGGGACAATGTGGAGGATTGCAGCCAGGAGCTGTGCCTCATGGCCATCGCGGAGGCAACCACCCTGGCTGCTAATCAGTAGCATCCCAGGCCATTTGGAGGGCTCCCCTCACCACCGCTGTGCCCTCGTCCACCAAAGCCGTGAACTCCTGGGCTTGGTCCCATGGAAGGGCCTCTTTGAATTTAAGGGAGTCCAACAGGTTAAAATTGTACCTGCCTCACAGGGCCTGGTGGTTAGACACCCTGAATTGTAGGCTGGCTGTCAAATCTTTCTGCCATATAAATCAAGTCACTTGGCATCTTTGTTCTTTGGTGTGCCACTAACGTGGCCCTGCTTGTCCCTTTCATTCACAGCGGACACGACCAGTGACACTGCTGGAGGGTGCGTGTAGAGGTATTCGAACCCTTTCACAGGGACATAATACTTTTCTGCCTTCTTAGAAGTCGGTGGAATGGAAGAGGGGGTTTGCTGCAGCGATTTGGCAATTGTGAAGACCCCTGGCTTGACAGGCAGCGTGGGCCGGGCCAGGATGGCGGAGGATATAATGTTAAAGAGGTCGTCGGACTCTTCGTGATCTCAATCTGTAGTTTCAAGTTAGCAGCCACCCTTTTAAGGAGGGCCTGGTGCTCCTTCAAGTCATCAAGGGGACTGCCCGT